GAAATTTTTTGGGCCCCTATATATATATATATATATATATATATATATATATATATATATATATATATATATATATATATATATATATATATATATATAGACGAAAATATGATACATAGAATACTCATTTCGGGCTTGTTCGAGTTTAAAAAAAAAAATTAAAAATACTTAGATTTTATTAAAAAGTAAAAACAAGTTACACCACTTCATTTTTGTGACTTCTATTAGATCTAGTCCAGGGGTCGGCAACCTTTTGAGTCTTAAGAGCCAAAAGTTACAATTTACAACATTACCCGGATTTTAAAGAGCCACTAACATTTTTATGTCAATAGTATATTTGTTTAGGATTATATACATACATATATATATATATATATATAAGTATGTCAGAGTACTTGCATTTGTTTTGAATTGCTCAAATCTCTCGGTGAAAACCTCCTTCATTTTGCTTATATTAATGCTGAAGTGATTGAATAGTAGCATTGGTTTCATAACGATATTTTTTTCAGATTTTTTCGTAATTAAGTAATTTACCGCTCACCATGTATTCAACAAAAAAGTTTTTTTTTCGAAAAAAAATCACTTCTTCAAGCAAGACATGGGCTCAGTTTTCCTTTCAGTTTTACACTTAGCTGGTTTATTTTCTTTGTGATATCCACTGTAAAGTTGAATGTTTCAATTCGGAATGGACAATGTAATAGGAAGTACATTGAGATAGGGAGTAACTAAATATTCTAATATAATAGTCGATGTTTATTGTTTATATCTTATGTTATATCGTTTATTACCGAGTGTTGCAGACTAATAATTTTATGAGTTTTGAAAATAAAATAATTATTAATATTTGTGCATGGAGCTGAAGAGCCGCAACTGGACACCAAAAGAGCCGCATGCGGCTCGCGAGCCGCAGGTTGCCGACCCATCTAGTCAATTTTGAAAATCTTTGTCTTAATATATTTGCTAAAATGCTTCCCTTGAATACCTCGGTCGAAATAATATGAAGCATGAAAGCTGTGTATGTGTAATGGTTTCTCGCCCTATGTTTATTTTTATGTTTTTTTGTATTTATATTATTAGTTTTAAATACATTTCTGTTTTATGCTTGTCATTCTTTATTATGTATTTTTTTTTAATAAAAATTAAGAAAAGTAATTGCTTTTTAATGTGTTTAATGCAAATCTATTAAAAGGTGCTTAAGAGCACACATATTTGACTATTTAAAAAAAGGGAAATCAGTCATGGAAGTGGTTTGAACGTTTGCGTATCTTTCACGCGATGGATTTATTTTCAAAAGAATTTTGCAGACAACAGCATGTTTGATTGTAGGAGAAAGATAACTCGAGATGTTGTCTATAGAATAAAGATAATCAAACAGCAGCTACAGTATTTTTTTTACAAAACATCCATCAAGTCAAAAATGCAAGAAGATTATTTTTTTTAACTGTAAAAAACTTGATTATGGTCGGCTGCGGGCCCCTAAACGTCTCGGGCCCCCCCGCAATGCGAGGTCTGGCGGCACTGTAGTTCCGCCCCTGACTCAAACACATCTATTTAGCTAGAAGATACATATCATGCGTGCATCACTCAAACACATCTATTTAGCTAGAAGATAGACATATCTACACGGAGACAAGTGACTTCGACTCGCATTATCTCACCAATCTTTGGCCTTCATCCCTTTAGTGAGAACCAACAATCTCTACCACCCCACGTCTAGTTTAGGTCATGTTGTAAGGGTGTGTGACCTTATGACTATCTCTCTCTTAAGATTTTATCTGTATGTCTCTTAAACAAACACAACGGATATCAAGAGATTTTTTTTATTATTATTATTTGCTAACTTATCTGTAATTGACATATTACCTTCAAACTAAACTGTAAACTACGACATTACTCCATTTAATTTTGGAGAACACCCCGCACGATAATTGAATACGATTGATCGTATTTTGAGACCTTGAAACGATTTAGGTTTTTATGTCTAAAATAACTTTGACAGACATTATCAATACAGGATATATTCAGCGGCATACGGAACATAAATGTAAATTTACGGCTGCGAATTTCCGACTATCGGACTATTTGGAAGAGTAATGTAAAACTGTGCGTGCAAATATTCATCTTCTTAATACATCTAGTTTTTAGTTAAGGAAACATACAGTGGCGTAGCTAGGGTTGTAAAGAGGAATCGGGTGATAAACAGGGGCATTATCTCCATGGCGTCAGAGGTGTAGCTACGCCTCTGGTCATGTAAAGTCTTAAATGGGAAATAATTTTAACTGCTGTATTAGAACATTAAAGGATTCCACCTCTCGGTTTGTAAATTTACTACTAAGATCTAGCGCGGCAATATCTAAGGCACTGCTACTGTCTAGTGCGGCCCACCCTGTGGCTCCATAGTCTAATAGACCATTGTGCATCGGAAAGATCTAGCTACAATATCTAAGGCACTACTATTGTCTAACGCGGCCCACCTAAAGCACTACTACTGTGGTCTATCGCGGCCCACCTAAGACACTACTACTGTGGTCTATCGCGGTCCATCTAAGACCCTACTACTGTGGTCTATCGCGGCCCACCTAAGACCCTACTACTGTGGTCTAACGCGGCCCACCTAAAGCACTACTACTGTGGTCTATCGCGGCCCATCTAAGACCCTACTACTGTGGTCTATCGCGGCCCATCTAAGACCCTACTACTCTGGTCTATCACGGCAATATCTCTGACTCTACCGTCTCCCCCGATCTCTGAGATTAGAATGCCACAGATCGGGGCAACACTCCCAGCTACATCACGTGACTGGTGAGGTAATATCTAGACCAACAACAAGGAGGTCACCATAAATACAAGTCAATGTCTGATTGATGTGTTCATTTTTAGCTTACAACTAGCAGTTATCGTTTAAAGGTGATCATTTCACATTCATTCTTTGCTTAGAATTCCAAGTTATCATTTAAAGGTGATCATTTCACAACTCGCAGTTATCGTTTTAAGGTGATCATTTCGGCACTGCTGATTTTCTTTTTCTTTTGGAGAAATTTGATGTTTATTTCATAGAAAAATTAAAAAGTTTTTAATATTATTTTTTTTAAATTTACGTCTATCTTTATCAGGATGAGCACAATAACAATTGAGTTAGTGCTTAGTTTTTTTTATTGAGTCTTAAATGAATTAAGTATTTTAAATAGGCTTCATCGGTTGGTGAGCGGTAAGGTCAAGGCTGTTTGGTTGCTATTGGTTTCGTGACGGATATCGCGTTGTGGTTAATGTGGCAGTTTTGACAAACTTTGTGACTAAATTTGAGTGACGTGACCTGTAGGCCAGCAGTGTGACTGAAATGTGCCACGAACGTGAACTGTAGGGCAGCAGTGTGACTGAAATGTGACACGAACGTGAACTGTAGGGCAGCAGTGTGACTGAAATGTGTCACAAACGCGACATATGGGTTAGCAGCCTGACTAAATTTAACCTCGAGTCTAGCGTGACACTCAAATGTAAACACCAAAATCACAATTTGTATGACGTGAGACTTCGAAGTCAACCAGTTTAATATTGTCCCTTGTTAAACTACGATGTTTTTGTTCAAACAGACAATCTAAGGATATTTCAAATATTAACAACTAATTTTATTTGGTCTATTGACATTCTCGTTGTTTATTCTATTTGCTATGAAAAAATGCGAAATAGACTTAAAGCAAACAACAATTATTTTTCACGATTAATTTTTCCTTTTTACTTTCTCGTATATACGAAGTATAGAGAAAGTCTTGTAATCGTGCAAAAAAAAAAAATCGAGATTTTTACAAATCTCGACGTTTTACACCTCACTGATACGGAAAAACATAATTTTGCAATCTTGTCCGTATGTCTGTGTGTCTGTCTGTGTGTCTGTGTGTCTGTGTGTCTGTCTGTCCGTGTGTAAACACGATAACTTGAGTACCGTTACAGCTACGTTGATGAAATTTCATATAAAAGTATTTTATCGAAATCGTAGATCCGTATCAACTTTTGAGCGATTTCCGATAACCGGAAGTGGTACTTTTCCTACTTTGAATTTTTCAAAAGCCTATAACTTGAGTACTATTTCAGATAGATAAATGAAATTTCACATGTAAGTAAAAGATCTAATCCTCTACCTTCTGTTAAATTTTGAGTAATTTCCGTTGACTGGAAGTAGTAATTTACGCTACTTCCGATTTCTCAAAAAACTAATGTAAATTTTAAAAGTACTAATAATATTGCGCACCATTATGCGCTTTTTTATTTGGCGTTCACTTGGTGTGCAATTAATTTGTCTACGAGATTTTATTCTATTTTTAAAACTTAAAGTATTTAAAATGGATTAAAAATCATGTCTATAGCCCGAGTTCCCATCCCCTGTTATTTTATATAAGAATATTCGAGAAAGTTTAGGGGAGATCACTCCCGGTTTATTGTTTTTTTATTTACATCCCTAATGGCGAATAATTTCTTGAAAATTTAGGAATTTCAAAGCGCGAATCTACTTTACCTTTTTGGAACGATGGTGAATAACAATAAATAAAATATCGAAGTGATAATTATAGATTATGGTTGAATACTGTTCTTATTAATTTTGTGATACTATGTGTAAAGATAGCACCTTTTTTTTATACATAAAAACCCCAAAAATAATAGAAAAAAAGAAATTAGGGCGTCATGTAACTTTTAAAGATAATTCCAAAGATAATTATGCTCAGAAGTCTTATATCTAGAAATATTTTTGTTCAATATGGTGTATCAATATTTCTTGCCATTATATTGATTAAGAAGTGGAAGTAAATATAGTACATTCGGCAACTAAAATATTCAATGTCCAATGTATCTTTACAGAAATAATACTTAAGATGAGTTTTTTCGTCAGACACCCTTTATAAAACTTATGCAGCAATGTGTAACCATGGTAACTAATTCGTGCCACTTTGTGTGAAAAAAAAATTAATCTGTCAGTAAATTTTAACTTAATATTTTTTCCTTTCCAGATCCCCCACAGTACAAGGGCGCAAGACCAGAGAGCAGCGCCTCAACCACTTCCGGCGGCTCGCCCCAACCATCAGCGGCGTACCCCCTGCTGACGCCCCAGACCCCCGCACCCCAACAACACACGCCGTTACTCTTTAAATCAGGGGGACGCGCGGAGGACTATGGGGATAACTCTAATCTAACTGGAAATCCAGGGGAAGTAACCTACACCACATACAACAGTTTGACTGAGGAAAGTCCGATCTCGTCTAGTCAAAGCTCGATTTCTTCCTCTCATGAACTCAACCGGCAGGAGTTAAAAGGAAAGCCGGTTATTTTATGGAAGCCGGAAGATAAAGACACGACCGGTCTCAACTCGCACAACGATAAAACATCTTCCTACCCCGGGACCCGAACCCAACCCGACAAATCGAACCCTGGATTAAGTATACGCCGAAGCAACAGCGAAAGCCATTTCCCAAAAACTTCGAGTTTCTTTCAAAAGTTTAAACAGTTTCTCGCGAGCGGCTCTTTCGTAGCCGGACATTCCCAGCACACGACAGCCGGTCAACTCGGAGCTAAGCCGGGCGCTGAAACAGACCCTCTACAGCCGTCACAGCTGTCACAGCCGTCACAGCCGTCACAGCCGTCACAGCCGGGCATGGAGCACGCTCCGAATGGTCTCTACAGCGGCGGGAAAAAGTCCCGGGGGGACAAGCCCCCAGGGAAAACTCCCTTCTTTGTTTACTACTTGGCGTGTTTTGCCACGATCGGAGGCCTCTTGTTTGGATACGACACAGGTAATGTTTGGTTTTAATTAACTTTGTCTGATCCTTGATTGCTAGGTTTTAATTAATTAAGCCCAATACATGATTGGCTTATTTGTTTGGAGCCCATGAGGAGCAAAAGGCTGCAGTCAGAGTTTCTTCCATGCATCACTTGGGGGGGGGGGGGACACCCTCGAAGAAAGTCTACCGCCCCCCCCCCCCCCGCCCCCTCCACGAACGAAATGAAAATTATATAGAAAATATATACATTTAACAGTGTCCGCCCCTCCGAAAAAAATCTACCGCCCCCCCCCCCCCGAAAATTTCAAGTGCCCCCCCCCCCCCCCGGGAGAAAAGAAGTCTGGAAGAAACACTGGCTGCAACCACACCTCTCCCACAGACTCGGTTTTTGGGCAGTTCTCTTTAGTTCAGCCCAAGTTATCCCAGCATCCCTTGCTTGACTTCCCCTTTCACTATCTAACTCCAGGATAGCTTGGGTTGGCCTACTGTTCTACTCCCCTGGGGATTCCAGTCTAACGCTTGCCTCATAGTGTTGTCCTCTTGCCTCTCTTGATCCATCCCCATTTGCCAGCTTTAATGACTCAAAACATGATTTTAGGCTTCAGTTTATTTTATTTTATAAAAACAATCGTGAGGTATTCAACTAGTTACATCTAACTTCAGTCCCTGGATATAAATGTGGATTTTGTTACCATCCAGGTGAAGTGCTTTGTCGGTAATGGTACAATTATATATAGGCAATAAAAGTAGACGGCATGCACATTTTACTACACCATATAAGGCAACACAATAGAACTCTTGAAATTTTAACAAAGAAACTAGAAATTAAATGAATAAAATATATCTGTCCATTACTTCAAAGTTTGAAAATCATTTCTGGGAATATTGATGTAAACGGAAACATCATTCATGATGTTAAAGGAAAATGAGTTAGTAGAAATGTTCAGTTATATAGCAAGTATCGTGCGGGGCGCCATGTATTGTGTCGGGCTCCATATTACTAATTGAGACGTCTATTTCAGGTATCGTGTCGGGCTCCATATATCGTGTCGGGCTCCATGTACTAATTAAAACTTCTATTTCAGGTATCGTGTCGGGCTCCATGTACTTCTTGAACCCTCTATTTCAGGTATTGTGTCGGGCTCCATGTACTTCTTGAACCCTCTATTTCAGGTATTGTGTCGGGCTCCATGTACTAATTGAACCCTCTATTTCAGGTATTGTGTCGGGCTCCATGTACTTCTTGAACCCTCTATTTCAGGTATTGTGTCGGGCTCCATGTACTAATTGAACCCTCTATTTCAGGTATTGTGTCGGGCTCCATGTACTTCTTGAACCCTCTATTTCAGGTATCGTGTCGGGCTCCATGTACTTCTTGAACCCTCTATTTCAGGTATCGTGTCGGGCTCCATGTACTAATTAAAACTTCTATTTCAGGTATTGTGTCGGGCTCCATGTACTAATTGAACCCTCTATTTCAGGTATCGTGTCGGGCTCCATGTACTTCTTGAACCCTCTATTTCAGGTATTGTGTCGGGCTCCATGTACTTCTTGAACCCTCTATTTCAGGTATTGTGTCGGGCTCCATGTACTAATTGAACCCTCTATTTCAGGTATTGTGTCGGGCTCCATGTACTAATTGAACCCTCTATTTCAGGTATTGTGTCGGGCTCCATGTAACTAATTAAAACTACTTTTATTGCAGGTATTGTGTCGGGCTCCATGTACTTCTTGAACCCTCTATTTCAGGTATCGTGTCGGGCTCCATGTACTAATTAAAACTTCTATTTCAGGTATTGTGTCGGGCTCCATGTACTAATTGAACCCTCTATTTCAGGTATCGTGTCGGGCTTCATGTACTTCTTGAACCCTCTATTTCAGGTATCGTGTCGGGCTCCATGTACTAATTAAAACTTCTATTTCAGGTATCGTGTCGGGCTCCATGTACTTCTTGAACCCTCTATTTCAGGTATCGTGTCGGGCTCCATGTACTTCTTGAACCCTCTATTTCAGGTATTGTGTCGGGCTCCATGTACTAATTGAACCCTCTATTTCAGGTATTGTGTCGGGCTCCATGTACTAATTGAACCCTCTATTTCAGGTATTGTGTCGGGCTCCATGTAACTAATTAAAACTACTTTTATTGCAGGTATCGTGTCGGGCTCCATGCTGCTGATCGAGAAAGAGTTTCACCTGTCCACCATTTATATTTCAGGTATCGTGTCGGGCTCCATGCTGCTGATCGAGAAAGAGTTTCACCTGTCCACCATCTGGAAGGAACTGATCGTCAGCGGCACCGTGGGGGCGGCGGCCGTGTTTGCTTTGTTTGCAGGCTTTACCTGCGACTTCCTGGGCAGAAAGGTAAGGGTCAGATCCTGGGCAGAAAGGTGAGGGTCAGGTCCTGGGCAGAAAGGTGGGTGTCAGGTCCACTGTGATGACCCTGGGTTAGAGTTAAAACTGACGGGAATTCATTTTGTTCCCCCCCCCCACCCGGAGGTGTAGGAGATGCACGGGAGGCGGCAAAAGTTGTTTGCTAGCTGACTTTACGTTCCACGTCCAGATTCTTTTCCATTTCTCTTTAGTTTTCCTTTCTTTTCTCTAAACGATATTAATTTGTAATTTTTTTTATTTAAGATCTATTTTGATGCACGGGGGGGGGGGGTTACCCATAAATGATGTCATAAAATGTTTGTGGATTTTGACCTACCCTTTCCTCTTTATCGGTTTTTATCGTAAAACAACTAAAGGCCTAATGAACATTAATCTCTTTTACAAAGTTTTTTTTTGTTACGTCACATATTATAACCACCCCACCCATTTTGGAGGGATGGTATGGTCGAGTAGTAGTGCGTTCGACTGCTAACGGAAAGTTTTGAGTTCGGATCTCGGGCTCTAGTTATTAGAACTTCCCCAAGTCCACCCAGCTCTGATGGGTACCTGACTCACGTTAGGGAAAGTGAAGTCGCCTGGGCATAGTGCTGATCCCCCTATCTCTTCATATGCCGAGGTCACAGAAACAGGTAAACTCTACTACCTCTGCCCCATGGAGCATCAAGTACTTCACTACTCACCTCCCTCCCCCCCTTTACTTAGGACATCAGCACTGAAGTCTGTACCCCAGGCTTGATCTAGGTAAATGACGTCGGTTGTAGACGCCCCATAATCCTTTTCATTTCCTCTCTCAAGCCTGTGAAAGATTACAACAGTGTCACCTGTCGTCTTAAATTAGTGTAACTATTTTTTTAAACTGCCCATCCGCTTGATGAAAAAAATTTGCTTCAGTGGGTAATCATTGGAATATTCTGACGTTATTTAATCTTTACTTTTTCTTAACGCCCGCAGATAACTATCATGATGGCGTCCGTTGTTTTCGTGGCTGGTGCCATTATTATGGGAGCCTCGCAGACCAAGGAGATGTTACTGGCGGGGAGGATTGTTGTGGGCATCGGGATAGGTAAGACAGGTGGGGATAGGTGAGACATGTGGTTGGGATAGGTGAGACAGGTGGTGGGGATAGGTGGTGGGGATAGGTGGTGGGGATAGGTGGTGGGGATAGGTAAGACAGGTGGTGGGGATAGGTGGTGGGGATAGGCAAGACAGGTGGTGGGGATAGGTGCTGGGGATAGGTGAGACAGGTGGTGGGGATAGGTGAGACAGGTGGTGGGGATAGGTGAGACAGGTGGTGGGGATAGGTGAGACAGGTGGTGGGGATAGGTGAGACAGGTGGTGGGGATAGGTGAGACAGGTGGTAGGGATAGGTAAGACAGGTGGTGGGGATAGGTGCTGGGGATAGGTGGTGGGGATAGGTGGTGGGGATAGGTAAGACAGGTGGTGGGGATAGGTGAGACAGGTGGTGGGGATAGGTAAGACAGATGGTGGGGATAGGTGCTGGGGATAGGTGCTGGGGATAGGTGCTGGGGATAGGTGCTGGGGATAGGTGCTGGGGATAGGTGCTGGGGATAGGTGAGACAGGTGGTGGGGATAGGTGAGACAGGTGGTGGGGATAGGTGAGACAGGTGGTGGGTATAGGTGGTGGGGATAGGTGCTGGGGATAGGTGCTGGGGATAGGTGAGACAGGTGGTGGGGATAGGTAAGACAGGTGGTGGGGATAGGTGCTGGGGATAGGTGAGACAGGTGGTGGGGATAGGTAAGACAGGTGGTGGGGATAGGTGAGACAGGTGGTGGGGATAGGTGAGACAGGTGGTAGGGATAGGTAAGACAGGTGGTGGGGATAGGTGGTGGGGATAGGTGATGGGGATAGGTGGTGGGGATAGGTAAGACAGGTGGTGGGGATAGGTGAGACAGGTGGTGGGGATAGGTGGTGGGGATAGGTGGTGGGGATAGGTGGTGGGGATAGGTAAGACAGGTGGTGGGGATAGGTGAGACAGGTGGTGGGGATAGGTGAGACAGGTGGTGGGGATAGGTGAGACAGGTGGTAGGGATAGGTAAGACAGGTGGTGGGGATAGGTGCTAGGGATAGGTGGTGGGGATAGGTGGTGGGGATAGGTAAGACAGGTGGTGGGGATAGGTAAGACAGGTGGTGGGGATAGGTGAGACCGGTGGTGGGGATAGGTGAGACAGGTAGTAGGGATAGGTAAGACAGGTGGTGGGGATAGGTAAGACAGGTGGTGGGGATAGGTGGTGGGGATAGGTGAGACAGGTGGTGGGGATAGGTGGTGGGGATAGGTGAGACAGGTGGTGGGGATAGGTGAAACAGGTGGTGAGGATAGGTGAGACAGGTGGTGGGGATAGGTGAGACAGGTGGTAGGGATAGGTAAGACAGGTGGTGGGGATAGGTGGTGGGGATAGGTGGTGGGGATAGTTGGTGGGGATAGGTAAGACAGGTGGTGGGGATAGGTAAGACAGGTGGTGGGGATAGGTGAGACAGGTGGTGGGGATAGGTGAGACAGGTGGTAGGGATAGGTAAGACAGGTGGTGGGGATAGGTGAGACAGATGGTGGGGATAGGTGAGACAGGTGGTGGAGATAGGTGAGACAGGTGGTGGGGATAGGTGAGACAGGTGGTGGGGATAGGTGAGACAGGTGGTGGGGATAGGTGAGACAGGTGGAGGGGATAGGTGAGACAGATGGTGGGGATAGGTGAGACAGGTGGAGGGGATAGGTGAGACAGGTGGAGGGGATAGGTAAGACATGGTGGCATTAGTTAAGACAGGTGATGGCGGGGATAAGTAAGAAATTGGGTGGGGATAGATAAGACAGACCTGATGTTTTGTTCGTGTGTGTGTCTAATGTAAGGGCTTTCGTCAATGCTTTCAATCTTTTGTTTTTTCCATTATGTCAGGTTTCGCCTCCATGACGGTGCCCGTGTACGTGGCAGAGGCGGCACCCCCAGACATCCGCGGGCGTCTAGTGACCATCAACCAGCTCTTCATCACCATCGGTATCCTCATCTCTAGTGTCATCGCTGGGGCCTTTAGTGAGGTGGACAATGGCTGGAGGTAGGTTATTTTTTTCTCTTTTTTTTTATGGCGAGAGGGCAGATAGGACAATGATTAGTTTAGACTAACGTGGTTGGGTATGTGGGTGTGTGGCTGGATACTGGTTGGAGATCTTCAATAATCATATATACATATATATATATATATATATATATATATATATATATATATATATATATATATATATATATATATATATATATATATATGAGACACATGTGTCGTTTCGATAAAGAGCAGAATATTATGAAACAGAATGGTGCAGGGATGAGGGGAGATAATACAGAGCTTAACCCTTTACAAAAAAAAAAAAGATAATCCCCCTATAATCATATATCGGTCACTAAAATTTTCAAGAAATTATTTTAATGCAAATCTCGTTTTTATATCTGTAACTTAAGTAACATGTCCAGTTTGCTTTACAGTTTTAGTGCATGGAAAAGTTTATCGTTATAAAAGTTTTTATACACACTTATACTTGGTGAGTGCATGACTGCGGGTAAAAATGTGTGTATTTTAGTACACCTGCATGTCTTGTACCAACACCACTGAATGTTCCACCACCTCCTGCCAGGTACATGCTGGGTCTGGCCGGCGTCCCGGGGGTGATCCAGTTCATCGGGTTCATCTACCTGCCCGAGTCCCCCCGGTGGCTGGTCTCTAAGGGCAAGGACGAGAAAGCCAAGAAGGTTCTACAGAGGATCCGTGGTGACCTGGACGTGGAGGAGGAGATGAAGGAGATCAAAGACGCCCTAGAGGAGAGCAGAAAACAATCGGGTTGGTTTTAACGGACAGTTTCCTCCCTTTGTATATTTATCTCCCTTTTTTTCTTTTACTTCCCTTTGAAAAAAAATTATTTGCTGGTTTATAAATAACAAGTGTATAATTAACAAGTTTGAAGTAAGAAGTGTGAATGTATTTAGATAAAAGGAAATAAGTAATCTAATTCCATATTCCATCATATCGATGTTTAATTTGTTTCCTACCTCTTTCCTGGGAGTTAACAGTTTTCAAGACTGATTCCCTGATTTTTCCACATTTGTGATTTCCCCACTTGTTATTTCCACACTTGTTAGGGGTCATCCATAAATGACGTCACGCTTTTTTTGACGATTTTTACCTCCCCCCTCCCCTCCGTCACACGTCGTCACAAAAAGCCAGACCCCCCTCCGCCAAAATGACGTCACACCTCAACCTACAACCCCCCTCAAAATTGCAGTTGAATTTTTTTAAAACATCGATATTTTTCTAAAATCTTGTCTAAACTATTACATTTATTAAAACAGTTATCTAAAATGCGAAATAACGTCTAAAATTCGTCTTCTAACATTGCTTTTTTATAATGCAAAAATGTGACGTCGCAACATCTGAACCCCCCCCCCCTCCCCCTCATCACACATCGTCACAAAATTACGGACCCCCCCCCTCCCCCTTACGAGTGTGACGTCATTTATGGATGACCCCTTATTTCCACACTTGTTATTTCTACCTTTGTTATTTCTACCTTTGTTATTTCTGCATTTATTATTTCTACCTTTGTTGTTTCTACCTTTGTTATTTCTGCATTTGTTATTTCTACCTTTGTTATTTCTACCTTTGTTACTACTTCCTTTGTTATTTCTATCTTTGTTATTTCTATCTTTGTTATTACTACCTTTGTTATTTCTATCTTTTTTATTTCTACCTTTGTTATTACTTCCTTTGTTATTTCTATCTTTGTTATTTCTATCTTTTTTATTACTACCTTTGTTATTTATATCTTTTTTATTTCTACCTTTGTTATTACTACCTTTGTTATTTCTATCTTTTTTATTTCTACCTTTGTTATAAACTATTTTTGTTATTTCCACACTTGTTATTTCCACACTTGTCACTCAGATACTTGTCATCATCCCCAGGTTTTGTGCTGGGTCGCGTGATACGAACCCGTCACGTGATGAAGGCGCTGTTTGTTGGCTGTGGTCTGCAGGTGTTTCAGCAGCTGTGTGGCATCAACACGGTCATGTGAGTTCAATGACCTAACGATAACCTTTTGTTACTGCTGTAGATTTGTGTTACAAAATGTTTACGTGTTTTGTTTTTTGCTTCTTGAAGCTTAGTAAGAATTTAAGAAGTTCATTAGGTCAGCGAGAACTGTACTTGGTCAAATCAGTTATTGTAGGATAGAGTAGTAATTGGTCAGATCAGATATTGTAGTAAAGTTTCAGGGTAGAACGAACTAACAGTGCAGTGACATTTCTTCTGTAGACGAGACCACCACTTAATTAGTAAAATATGTCATCGATTGAATTAATCATTTACTAACCTAGAGAAAATAGAAATCAGGTTAAATTTTTCTCAGAAAACGTTATATTAAAAAACATTTGTAACTCTACTTTTGCTGAAGAACATTAAGCATGTTAGCATTAATTATATCAATTGTAGATTTTGTCGATGACGTTAATTAAAAGACTTCACGAGAGAAAGTAAATTAATATTTTATTAACTTTTTAAATGTGTAGAAATCAACCAATGAACCGTAACTAACATTAACTGTAATTCGTTTAATTCAAATAGTTTTCTTCACCATGCTTCTAAGAAAGATAACTAAAAAAAAGTTTCATCCTACGGTCGAATTGATTGCTTCCCCTTGGTGTTTTTTTTAAAACAGATACTACAGTGCCACCATCTTGCGAATGGCGGGGTTCTCAGCTAAGCTGGCCATTTGGCTCGTGCTGGTACCAAACGGCATCAACTTCCTGTCCACCATTGTGGGCGTGGCACTGGTGGAGCGTCTGGGTCGTAAAAAACTTACCGTCATCAGTTTCATAGGTGAGCACATTTTCTTTTTACACTACCGTGATTTCTCAACACTCTTTACACTTTGTAGGCCTATGTGAATTTAGAGCGGGTTGTTTATTATAAATATCCAGTGCTGGATTGGGCCGCCGGCAAGAATCCACGCGGATACTGGTAAAAGTATATATTTTCTATATAAATTCCATTTCGTAAAAAGCCCCCCCCCCCAACCCCCGAAGAGATGAATGGAAGAAACTCTGCAGAGGACGCAAATTAGCATCGTAAATAAAAATTAATGTATTGCGGAACAATCTAGAGCTACTAGCTTCATTTTTTTTTTTACAAACGTTGCTCAAAATAAATTCTGTTCACTGAAAAAAAGCGCATTGGAAAACTGCGCACAAAAAAAGTGATTTTTTTTTCAAATAGAGCATATATAGACATTCACAAAGAGTGACTTCATGTACATTGTGGCATAATAAAACATATTTTTACGAAACATAACAAGATTAAAGTGTATTGTTATAATTATTTTCTTTTTGCGCAGTTTTCCTTTGCGCGGTTTTCCGATAGTGCATTTTTCTGGGAACCTGAAAATTATTGCTCATTGTCTTGTTTTTTCTGCATTTAAAAGTTTGTTACACACTAGTATGCTTATATCTGTGAGAGGAAGTGGGGGGGGGGCATGAAAATATCACCACACCAACCCTCCGTCTGATGATGTGGATTGTTTCCCTTCCGTCCAGGTGTGGTCATCGCTCTGATAGTCCTGGCCGCAGGTTTCCAGCTGTCCGCCAACTTCTCACCTGACCTGGACGGGAACTACACGGAGGTGTCGTATGACAGGAACAACAGTCAGCAAACAGATCTCTGCTCGGTTAAATTATACACGTGAGTTAACACGGCAAAACAGATCTCTGCTCGGTTAAATTATACACGTGAGTTAACACGGCAAAACAGATCTCTGCTCGGTTAAATTATACACGTGAGTTAACACGGCAAAACGATGTACTTTAATTATATACATTAGGTGATTTAGGTCGGTAGTACACAGAATATCTAGTTTTATTTGTTGTTATTCCTTAAATTGATATCTAATTGGATCATTAAATGGAATAATTGTGTTACTGACGATAATAAAGCGTTTTCTGCAGACTGCCCTTTATCTGTCCACAACTGCACTCCCCCCCCCCCCCCAACCGATGAACGGGATGCACCTGTCACTACCTTCAATACCTCCCCCCCACACACATACACACACACACACACATACACCCAACTAACAGATTTCAGCCTTTCTCCACCAGCACTACTCCCGCTCCCCCCCTTCCCAACACACATTCAACTAACAGATTTCTCTTTTCTCCACTAGCATCACACACACATTCACACACACATTCACACACACAAAACACACACAGCCAACAAATTTCCCCTGTCTCTACCAACATTAACCCCACCCCCCATCCCCAATACACCCCCCACACACACACAAATCTAACCAACAGATTCCCCCTTTCTCCACCAACACTACCCCCCCCCCACACACACACACCCAACTACCCAACTAACAAGCACCCTTGCCTCCCACAGAACGTGCGAAGAATGCATCGAAAACAAGGACTGCGGCTTCTGCTACGGGGACAGTGACGGCCATTTTGGCTCGTGCGTCACGGCCGAGTTTGACCACGAGGATGAGTACTCCACCCACGGGCGGTGTGGCCGCAACGTCACGGAGAAGAACAAGAACTTCACCTGGGCCCACGGGTTCTGTCCGACAGACTACACCTGGATGGCGGTGCTGGGGTTGGCTCTGTTTGTGATGGCGTTTGCCCCAGGTGAGTAGGGTTGGCAGGTGTGTGGGTAGAGTGTGTGAGAGAGTGTGTGAGAGAGTGTGTGACAGAGTTTGTGGGTAGAGTGACTGACGTGATTTGGATATTTATAAGAAAGTGTAGTGGGAGGGGGGGGGGTCTAGTTGGTGTAGTGGGGAGGGGGGAATGTCTAGTTATGTTGTGTTTGGAGATGTGTAGATGGTCTAGTTGGAGTGGGTGGGAATGATAAATAGTCAAGTTAGAGTGGGTGGGCGTTGTAGATGGTCTAGAGGTGGGAATGATAGATGGTCTATTTGGTGGTGTATGGGGTGGGTTAATGGTCTAGTGTGTGAATTGTGTGGTTAGATGGCCTAGATATCGTTGTGTGTATGTTGCGAGGGGTGGGTGCTAGGTTTTGTAGTGGGCGGAGTGTGTGGTAGATTTAGTTGAGATGGCGGAAGGGAAGTTGATTGAATTGTAAGGTGTTACTGTAGATGTTTTATATAGATGTGGAGAAAATCAGGTACAAAGATGTTATGCACAAGATATAAAGGTATTAGGCACCAGGTATAAAGATGCTATTCACAACGGTAATACCCACAAGGTATAAAGGTGTTACCCACCAATTATAAAGGTATTACCCACCAAGTATAAAGGTGTTATCCACCTGGTATAAAAGTTTTACCCATCAAGTCTAAAAGTGTTACCCACCTGGTATAAAGGTGTTACCCACCTGGAATAAATGTGTTACCCAACGGGTATAAAGGTGTTATCCACCTGGTATAAAGGTGTTACCCACCAAATATAAAAGTGTTACCCACCTGGTATAAAGGTGTTACCCACCAAGTATAAAAGGGTTACCCACCAAGTATAAAGGTGTTACCCACCAAGTATAAAGGTGTTACCCACCAAGTATAAAAGTGTATTTCACCTGGTATAAAGGTGTTACCCAACGGGTATAAAGGTGTAATACACCTGGTATAAAAGTCTTACCCACCAGCTATAAAGGTGTTATCCTCTCCCCCCAGGGCTAGGCCCCATGCCGTGGACCATCAACTCTGAGATCTACCCCATGTGGGCCAGAAGCACGTGCACATCCATCGCCACCGGCTGCAACTGGATCTGTAATCTCGTCGTCTCTCTCTTCTTTCTAACTCTCACGGAGACGATAACCAAATACGGTGAGTAGCCTGCAACTTGATCTGTAACCTCGTCGTCTTGCTCTTCTTCCTAACTCTCACGGAGACGATAACCAAATACGGTGAGTAGCCTGCACGTGCGGTAGTCAACAACACGTGTGCAAGTATATCATGCATCCCAGGGCAGGTGTATGACCAACAAGCATATCCATTGTAATTAGCGTGTTTATCCGTTACCTTGGTAACCAGACTATTTTGTACCTTCCTCTTAGTCGTGGCTTAGGAGTTCTTTGGGTTTCCTCTTTTACCTTGGGATTCCATTCAAGGCAATGCTGGACATAAATCATGTATGGGAATTCCAGTACCATTTTCTTAGGCGGATCTCATCTTCCACGTCGTTGGTTCCTTCGCTGCCAGATTTGTTCGTTTGTTATGTTGTTGGCCAAATTTAAGCGAAGTATTTTCTTTAAAGGCACTTACTCTTAGTTTATTATGCTCATGTGATTTTTCATTTTCCTGGCAATTTTTAAATGTTATTTCTTTTTTTAAATTTGAAATTTGTTTTTAAATATTTTAATTGAAAATGTTGAGTGTTGAATTTTTTAGGGTACTGATTTTTTTTTCTTTTAAATAGCACCGATGATTTAGTTTATACTAAATATTCTCCCCTTATACGACAATTTCAGGAGCGTTCTGGCTTTTCGCTGGCATCTGTTTCCTCGGTCTGTTGTTCACCATCGCCTTTGTGCCAGAGACCAAGAACAAAAGCCTGGAGGAGGTGGAGCGGCTGTTTATGGGGTCAAAGAAGGGCAAGGACAATCCGGCGTACGAAAAGGACGTGCCGGAACCGGAGAGGAAAATCGACACGAAGCTGTAAAATTACGTGCTCGTGTGGATACTACTAGAATTATTTTTTCACGGCGAGTGTTGACGTGTGCAGTTTTGTGTGTGTGAGAGAGATAGAGATAATGTGTGTGTGTGATTGTGTGTGGTACGGTTCTCAGAATAAATGCGCAATCGGAAAGATGTCGCAACGGAAAACTGCGCCAAACAGAAAAATGCACAAATACAAACTAATTATACTAATACGCTTAAATTTTGTCAAATTTCGTGGTAATATGTTTTATTATGCTACAGTCTACATGTACTCAATCTTTTTTAATGTTTATAAATGCTCGTTTTAAGAAAACGAAAATGCCATTGCGCCCTTTTTTGTGCGCACTTTTCCTTTGCGCAGTTTTCCGCTGCGCATCTTTCCGGTCACCGTGTGGTAAAGTACTTGTGCATGACTGCTGCAAGCAGGTTGTGGCGTGTTAAAATCTAAACGAGTGCGCTAGTCATTCATTCTATCCGCTTCGTTGTGATATATATATATATAGGCATATATATATATATATATATATATATATATATATATATATATATATATATATATATATATATATAACTTTATAATCTTCTAATTTAAATTAATTGTATAAATGACTAATGAAAACCAGAACTGTTTAGATATCAATAAACAAAAAAAAAACTGGAAACTTTGGTCAAAAGATCGAGTAGAAAACCGGGGGGGGGGGGGGGGAAATCAGACGACTCCAATATTTCACATATTATATGTATATTATGTGTATGTGGTGATGGGGGAGTTAAGTAAAAATATTTTTGTTTCCGTTAATTTAAAATCTGGCAGACGATGTTTGAACCATCCGGAAGTGACTTGATCGTCGAGAGCTTGCATTTGATTGGCCCGTTCCTTATTCAAACATTCCAACAATAGTTCGATCTCCCATCGCTTTCAAAAATATAATGTATGTTATGTTATGTTTTACATTGTGTTAAACGTTATGTTCTAATTCAATTACATTGTATGAATTATTGTGTTTTCTTGTGTGTGATGTTACAATGCAAATTAAAACAAAGTCTTGTTACCCATGAAATATAAAACTGTTAAGAAGATGAATACTTAATATTTATAGTAAAGATCTTGTTCAAACTTATCTAGTGGAAGATATTTTCTTGAACCTCTAGACCTTTCTATTCCTGTGTTGTAAGAGACGGGGGTTAATCCGACAACGGCAGGTTTTAATTCGCAAACCCTTCTAAGGGATTTGTTTAGAAAACACTTAATTGATTTGTTCAAACTGGCAAAAGCTTATAAAGTTATTTTAAAGTTAGTTACTTAAAGAGGCGTGGATTGTCAATGGTATCTACTGATGTGTGTTAAAACTCACAATGGGGAACATATTGTCTTTACTTTGTAGGTACAGGTTGAAATATGAGATGGAAGGGTGGCATGAAAATGTAGCTATAGGATATTTAACCCGCTGGATGACATTTTAGTTGTAGGATGACATTTTAGTTGTAGGATGACATTTTAGTTGTAAGATGACATTTTTGCCGCTGGATGACATTATAGCTTTAGGATGACATTTTAGCTGAAGGATAACATTTTAGTTGTAGGATAACATTTTAGCAGCTGTGTGATGACATTTTAGCAATAGGATTATGTTTTAGATTTACAATGACATTTTAGCTGCAAGACGACATAGTTGAAGTAGGCCTATAGCACTAGTTGGAAGATCTAGTTGTAGCTTGAGATTTTAGCAGAAAGACGATTGTTGAGTAACTGGACATTTTCAGATGACATCTCACAGGACAATGTCACATGACATTTTACATGACATTATAGCGTGACATGTTAGCATGACATTTAGCTTGACATACAGCACAACTGTTATTGCTTTCCACTCCCCCAACCACCACCGAGCTAATAAAACTTTGCTACTTATAAAAAAAAAAAAAACCGGCCTTGCGTACTGAACCCATTTCTTGTGCCGCTACTTTACCTTGGTCGTAGCATTGAACCCAACCATGACCCGAAACCTGACTCATACAGTGATGTAAGTAGGAAAAAAATCCCTTATACGATAGACCTACTGTGTTGCTGGCATGACGATTTTCAAAGAACTGAGGTTCAAACCCGGCTAGGATCAAAGGTCGAATCGTCTTTGTTGTTGTTTTATAAATGTGATTATATCATGTATATGCTAATTTTTAAAACTAAATTTTAGATTGCCTAAAAGTCTAAAATTCAGTATATAATCTTATGTCTAAAATATTTTATATTCATTTACTTGAAGAAAAATACGACTGTTTAACTTACGAACGTTACTGAAACAATTTTGAGAGGTATTTTATGTAGTTAGTGACGACAGTTTAATGTACATATTTATTTTAAAATTTCACGCATTTTAAGAATGATAAAATATATATCGATTAAACATCATATTTCTGTTTGTCCTTTTTGTGTATCAGCCTGATCGATTTTTCAGCTTTTAAAGTTTAGTTTCGTTGTTAATTGGACTAAACTCTGGCTATCGATTCCACTTTTTGTTTAGTAATGAGAGTTCATTTTAAAACAAACGTGGTATTTAGAAAATTGTAGTAGAAAGTTTTTAAATGCGCTTAAAATACAAAAGTAATTACTAATTTTCCTTAGCTACAAAAATAATAGCATAAGCCAATCGAGAAATATATTAGATACATTTTAGCGATGATCGCTAAAAACCACTATGGAAGTAACTTTTGGTAAGTAGAAAACATGACTTTATAAAATATGCGCCATTTTGGCTAAGTATATTTGTAGTGTTTGGTGTAACTGTATAAAAATAGCTCTTCCTTCTTAGTTGTAGTGTTAAAGGGGATTTCATCCAACATAATTAAGTATTTCGTGACATGTTATGAGCTATATGACGCGTTGATTCCGACTTCAGTCTGCTTTTCTTTCTGGATTTCTTTCCATTGCCCTTGTCCAACCAAGAACAAACAAGGCAGCAGTTGTTTGATTTTGGAGTTGTCTCTCCTAGATGGATTGCTGTCTCCAGCTAGCTAGCTTCATCTGCCCGGAGGTGGGGGGTCGAACTTAGGACTTCTGGTGTTAGCAGTCTCGACCACGCTCTTCCACTCGACCACACCATTCCAAAAATAAAATAGTTCAATACTTCTGTTCATACATTATGTACAAAGTTTATTTCAATACAAAAAATATCCGCCCAGTCTCCTATATTACAACATATATATTTGTAAACATTGATGTTAAAAAATCTTTAAAAAACAAAATTTGATCCTATCTTGGGAAACAAAAGTAAGTACACCTGGCTCTCTATTCATGCTGGAATTAAGGCTTCGCGAATGTCCTCAGTGAGATGTAACATATGCATATAGATAAGTCATTGCACAATATGTATTAGGTTAAGCCCACACCGATAACCCATTATAAAACATTGATTCCTGTATTTTCATACAAATTAACACTTACTTTTCAAACAGATTTACAGTGTAATGCGCAGGTCCCCGTAATAATTTAACTGATGGGAAATAAATTACCCGAAAAAGCAAAAGTGAAAAGTAACATTCGGTATTATGACAAATAGAAACCATTTTAAACGCGCTTAAAAGGGTGTAAACGATATTCTTTTACGCAAAGCTAAAAATGTATTTTCTATTGGTAGATAGCAGTGCTTTTCTATGTTCCCTATATGGAAATATTTAAAACAGCATAGACCCATCCTTGTACAGAGCAGGAAAAAGCTGTAACTTCTACACTTTTAAGTTAACAATCCACGGTAAAGCTTCATGCTAGTACTCATATATATATATATATATATATATATATATATATATATATATATATATATATATATATATATATATATATTGATGTTTTCTACCAGGGACCCGCCCATTAGGAACTTTAGCTGCCGACCTTAAGAACTAAAATAGCTACAGTAGCTGGGTCGCCCGCGTGACGATATTCCTTGTCATTGGCTAGATTTTTACAACTACGTTCATCAGGGCATACACTAACTCCCAAAGTGTACCTAAAACACTGTTCTCTAAATAATATTCACTCATGGTTTGTTAAACCTTCCGATAAACCTAACGTACACTTCCTCGTTTAACCAATGACGAAACCTAACCTTTACGGTTAAAGAGAGAGAAGGGGTTATGTCTAGCGTTAAAGCTTAGGATTGGTATCGACTTCAAGCACTTGTGTTCCCACTCGCATACAAATATTAACACCCGTTAATTTCAAACGAGCAAGGATGATAACGATGACGTGAGCGAGTTAATAAATATTAACACCCGTTAATTTCAAACGAGCAAGGATGATGAGGATGAGGTGAGCGAGTTAATAAATGTGCGAGGACCCTGTAGGTCCTACGCTCATCTTGGGTTCGATCTCCACCTCCTTGGCGACTGAGCGCCGGATGTCATGCGCCTCCCGGGCAGCCAGAGCCCGCTCCCTCGTCTCCCCCGTCATGAAGAGGATCTCTATCTCCTCCAGGGTCTTGTCCTTCGTCTCTGGCACGAATATCAGGACAAACACGGCGGCGATGGCGCAGATGACAGCAAACAGGAGGAATGTTCCTGTCAGACAGACAAACATTGACAGCAGGTAGACAGACAGACATTGACAGCAGGTAGACAGACAAACATTCAGCCAACTGCAGGCAGACAAACAAGCATTAAGTGAACTTTAATCAGACAGACAGACAGACAGACAGACAGACAGACAGACAGACAGGCAGGCAGGCAGGCAGGCAGGCAGGCAGGCAGGCAGGCAGGCAGGCAGGCAGGCAGGCAGGCAAGCAGGCAGGCAGGCAGGCAGGCAGGCAGGCAGGCAGGCAGGCAGACAGACAGACAGACAGACAGACAGACAGACAGACAGACAGACAGACAGACAGACAGACAGACAGACAGACAGACAGACAGACAGACAGACAGACAGACAGACAGACAGACAGACAGACAGACAGACAGACAGACAGACAGAAAGACAAGCAAAAGCATTAAGCCGACTGAAGATTATAATACCCAGTACTTTTAACTGATTGGTCAAAGCTGGCAAAAAAACCCTACGCTAAAAGCCCCTGGGTTGGCCCCAACTCACGAAGTAAAAAACCTACCCCACGCCGTGAAGTTGGCGATCATGAAGGGAAATGAGGCGGTGACGATCGAGTTACAGACCCAGTTACACGTCGTGGCCAGGGAGTTGGCCACACCCCGACACCACATGGGGTAGATCTCGGCATTGATTGTCCATGGCATCGGGCCGGCACCTACACGGGTCACAGAGGTCAAGTTGGCGTCAGACAAAATTTTAGGTTTTTGTAGGGATGATTTGTAGAGGTTAGAGGTTCTGTGAGGGTGAATGTTAATACCGAGGTTCTGTTAGGGTGATTGGAAATACCAAGATATTCTGTTAGGTTGAATATTAGCACTAAGAGGTTCTGTTAAGGGGGAAATGCTAGTACTAAGAGATTCTTTTAGATTGAATATTTATACAAAGAGGTTCTGTAAGGTAAACTATTAGTTCTGTTTGAATGTTAGTTTCAAGAGGTTCTGTTACATTGAATATTAGTATCAATTGGTTCGGTTAAGGGGAATGTTAGTACTAGAGATTTTGTTTGATTTATTAATGTTAGTATCAAGAGGTTCTGTTAGAATGAATATTTTTACCAAGAGGTTGTGTTTAGGTGACTGTTAGTGCCGAGGTTGTGTTTGACTGAATATTAGTATCAAGAGGTTCTGTTAAGGTGAATTTTAGTACCGAGGTTGAGTTTAAATTGAGTGGAGTTGACACCGAGAGGTTCTGTCAGGGTGAATGTTAGTACCAAGAGGGTTTGTTAAGGGGGAAAGCTAGTACCAAGAGGTTCTGTTATTGTGAATTTTAGTACCGAGGTTGTGCTTAAATTGAGTGGAGTTGGTACCGAGAGGTTCTGTTAGGGTGAATGTTAGTACCAAGAGGATTTGTTAAGGGGGAAAGCTAGTACGAAGAGGTTCTGTTAAGGTAAATTTTAGTACCCAGGTTGTGCTTAAATTGAGTGGAGTTGGTACCGAGAGGTTCTGTCAGGGTGAATCTTACTACAATAAGACCGCGTTGAAACGACAGACCACTTACCGGGAGCAAACCCAAGAACAAACAGCATCAAACCACCCACGGCGAAGTACGAGTAGACCGATGGACAGTACGCCGTGTTGTACTGAACATTCTCGGCCAGGTACTTGTTAGAGCTGGACGGGTCGGGTTTAGAACACCGACCGTATCTTGAGTACCTTCGTGACTCCTGTGGTTTCGACTCCACCTGCCTCGTGCAGGCACCCATCGAGGGCTTCTTGATTGTGTTTTCTAAGAAGCAGTACCCACACACGTCTGTTTTCTCTATACATTTATTGCACGTTCTGTGGAGATGGGGGAGAGTGAGAAACATAAAGAGCTCAATAGGGCTGGTAAGTAGGTCACCAACATGTTATCTGGCTCATGCAGGTTTTATTGAGCCGTAGAACTGGTTGGTGACCTACTTACCAGCCCTATTGCAATGTGATTTATTCTAGACATACACGATGCCAATGACAGTTGGAGCAGTCCAGCCTACATTTGATTTATAAGTTCTATTTCGTCTCTTGAGCCAACCCAGCTCTATCGGGTACCTGACTAAAGTAAAGAAAAATCAAAGGCGCCGGACAAAGAACTGAACACATTCATGCCTGAGCCACAGAAATTGGTCAGCGCTATTTCTTCTGACTATTTCATCATCAGGTTCGAAAGAGTCGCCTACATCTTTTCATGTTTCAGTACAACAATAAATTAATATTTCTAACACAACTATACCGAAAACACTCTTTTTAAAGTTATTTTTTCTAACGCAATATTCCGCTTATTGCGAGGTACGGGATACAGATAAAAAAATACATAAGACACCGCGGCATGACAGTATATTGTTCTTACAATATGCTTGGAACAAATGTAAAAATACTCCAAACTTCATTAAACGAAAACTTTTTTAAGATAAGCTATATGTTAGTGGGTGTGTGGGTGTTGTTGTACTTTATATATATATATATATATATATATATATATATATATATATATATATATATAAAGTACAACAACACCCACACACCCATATATATATATATATATATATATATATATATATATATATATATATATATATATATATATATATATATATATATATATATATATATATATATATATACCGTCTGTGTAAATGGGGCATAAGGCTAAAATTGAACTTATCCATCAAAGTTGCCCGAATGCACTGAATACGGCAAAGACAACGTTTTTAATGAATTAATCTCATAATGAACTCACGTCATACTAGAGCACTCGTCAGCAACAGAGTTGGGCTCGTTGGCTGGGTTCGCTTCCGGTGACTCGGCCAAGCTCATGGCAAAACCAAAACACAGGACACACAACGCCACGGCGATCGCTGCAAAGTGGTGGTCAAGTTGGTTAGTGTCACGTGACCAGATTTCATTAGGTAGTGGTCAAGTTTGATGGTCTCATGTGAAAGGTAGTGGTCAAGTTGGTTAGTGTCATGTGAAAGGTAGTGGTCAAGTTGGTTAGTGTCATGTGAAAGGTAGTGGTCAAGTTGGTTAGTGTCATGTGAAAGGTAGTGGTCAAGTTGGTTAGTGTCATGTGAAAGGTAGTGGTCAAGTTGGTTAGTGTCAATGACCAGATTTCATTAGGTAGTGGTCAAGTTTGATGGTCTCATGTGAAAGGTAGTGGTCAAGTTGGTTAGTGTCATGTGAAAGGTAGTGGTAAAGTTTGCTGGTCTCGTGTGAAAGGTAGTGGTCAAGTTTGCTGGTCTCATGTGAAAGGTAGTGGTAAAGTTTGTTAGTGTTAAGTGGCCAGATATCATTAGGTAGTGGTCAAGTTTGTTAGTGTCATGTGAAAGGTAGTGGTCAATTTTGTTGTTCTCATGTGGAAGGTAGTGGTCAAGTTTGTCTATCACGTGTGATGAGATTTCATTTGTTAACTGGTTTTTGAAATCTAAAAGCTGAAACAAAATGCCTCACAGCTTTACTGCTAGGTAAATTCATACATTAATATTTATCTCATTGCGATAATTATGTCTTTAGCTCATTGCTAAGATCTTATGGCGGGGCAAGTGAAATAGAATACACGTGGCAGGGACGTCCTACTGACTTGGACCCGGATTCGAAACTCGAGAGTTTCGGGTTAGCAATCGAACGCTCTACCATTCAACCACACCGTCCCACTATGACTTAAGCTCATTGTTCCACGTTAGAGAAAACGCATGTAGTTCCCCAAGAATAATCTTGGTGTCATCCCCTATATGAAGGCACTCTCTCTATACACAAACAATGCGAGTCCAAAGGAATAGTCACCTAATTATATAACACGGAGAAAGTAGAAGGCGCTTTTGTGGTTTTTTCATATCTTGTGAACTGGAGTACCTCAAAGACACAAATTAATTGCTCTGCCTATGGTTTTCTTCATTCTTACTTTTTAATGCCAAATGTTTGCCTTGAGAATACTTTCATGAATTTATTTACTCAATATCTTACAAATTTTGTTTAATTGTGAACACTAATTTATTAACTCTAATGTCTTAAAATTTTTTATTTAAAAACAAAAATTTCAAAACTAACTAAGACTATACCACTGTTTCAAATATGAATGTAGTAATTAATTTTTATCAAAATTGAAGTAGTGTCCTGTGTACGTATTTAAGTCAGTCGTGTCGTCCTTGACAATGGCAGTTTTACGAACACGGGGGTTAATGAAGCGTGACCTAGAAAACTTAACGTTAGAACCAGCTTCCGTCCCAGAGATTACGAACACTGCGGTTAATGAAGCGTAACCTGACCTAGAAAACTTAAAATCACAACCAGCTTCCGTCCCAGGGATTACAAACAAGGGGGTTAATGAAGCGTGACCTGACCTAGGAAACTTAACGTTAGAACCAGCTTCCGTCCCAGGGATTACGAACGAAGTGGGTTAATGAAGCGTGACCTGACCTAGAAAACTTAACGTTAGAACCAGCTTCCGTCCCAGAGATTACGAACAAGGGGGTTAATGAAGCGTGACCTAGAAAACTCGACGTTAGTACCAGCTTCCGTCCCAGAGATTACGAACCAGGGGTTTAATGAAGCGTGACCTGACCTAGAAAACTCAACGTTAGAACCAGCTTCCGTCCCAGGGATTACGAACAAGGTGGGTTAATGAAGCGTGAAATGACCTAGAAAACTTAACGTCAGAACCAGCTTCCGTCCCATGGGATTACGAACAAGAGGGTTAATGAAGCGTGACCTGACCTAGAAAACTTAACGTTAGAACCAGCTTCCGTCCCAAGGATTACGAAACAAGGGGGTTAATGAAGCGTGACCTGACCTAGAAAACTTAACGTTAGAACCAGCTTCCGTCCCAAGGATTACGAAACAAGGGGGTTAATGAAGCGTGACCTGACCTAGAAAACTTAACGTTAGAACCAGCTTCCGTCCCAAGGATTACGAAACAAGGGGGTTAATGAAGCGTGACCTGACCTAGAAAACTTAACGTTAGAACCAGCTTCCGTCCCAAGGATTACGAAACAAGGGGTTAATGAAACGTGACCTGACCTAGAAAACTTAACGTCAGAACCAGCTTCCGTCCCAGCGACTCGACGGCCCAGAGACCGATGAATGTGGCCAGGAAGTTGAAGACGGCCGGGACGCAGGCCAACCAGATGGCCATTTCCGTGGAGAAGCCGGCGCTCAACAGGATGGAGCCGCTGTAGTATCTGTAGAGTCAAGCGACACCGTCAGTGATAGCACGTGCTTAGTATTTCATTCAGGCATCGTTACACTCGCTCTTCCCCAGTGACCCCCCCCCCATCCCCATCCCCTCCCAGAGACAATTGTCTAACTAAAGCTAACCATGCACGTTGTAAAAATGTAAATCTGACTCGCATCCAAAGTTTCTTCCACGCATCACTTCGGGGGGGGGGGCTAATTCTACCGCCCTCCCCCCCTCCCGAACGAAATAAAATTTATATAATTTATATAGAAAGTATATACTTTTAACAGTGTCAGCCCCCCCCCCCCCCCCGAAAATTTCAAGTGCCCCCCCCCCCCTTACCCCGGAGAAAAAAGTCTGGAAGAAACACTGCTCGCATACCCTAAGGACATAGAAAAGATCCCCCCCCCCCCCCCTTTACCGTTTCTAACAACACCCACGACTTAAAATATATTTTTTATCACGTGTTAAACGAAACAAAACATGTTTATTTTTAACTGTTTTTATTTGAAAGCAATCTCGATTATGCGTATTTTAATATTATAGATTTTTTTTTAATTAGCGGCGGGGGAAATGCGAATAACTTAAGGCAATCATCTTAAATATAAAACTATGAAACTAATTAAAAGAAACTCAATAAGAAAACGAAACAGTTTCCCAAGATAGGTGTCAATCAGATCGGGTAAACTTAAATCATATCCCACTTTGTGTGTCCATCAGTGGCGTAGCGAGGTCGGGTGTCACCCGGTGCGGCACCTAATGGTGTCACCCCCTCAGAGGCGTAGCGACTCTTCCCGGGTACAAACTTTCAATTTTCGATTTGCAACCCCCCTCCCTCAAACTTTCGATTTGCACCCCCTCTCGAACTTTCTATTTGCACCCCCCCCCCCCTCGAACTTTCGATTTGCACCCCCCCCCCCCTCTCAAATTTTTGTCTAAATATTTTACTATTTTTTGCCTTGGTGTCACCCCCCTAAATGGTGTCACCCGGTGCGATCCGCACCCCCCCCCACCCACCCCCCCCCATCCCCCCCCCCCCTAGCTACGCCTCTGGTGTCCATATAGTCTCAATGGTTACAAATACTGCATTAAAGAGAACATGTGTTCACTCTTTAACTTGTTGAAAAAAATATTATTTTTAAATTATAGGTTACATTCTAAAAAAAAACCTTTGACGAGTGTATATCTATACCCACTACAAATTTGACAAAATCTATTTTCCCTTCCATTTCAACAGAGATAAACGTTGAAACATCTGATATTAAAATAAAAACACTTCCATCCTTTTGTGTAGACAAGCATCAGATGGTAATTAAAATCAGACGAAGTGGTACAGAGATTAAAGACAGACTTACATGACGGTTAAAGACAGACTTACATGACGGTTAAAGACAGACTTACGGTTAAAGACAGACTTACATGACGGCTAAAGACAGACTTACATGACGGTTAAAGACAGACTTACATTACGGCTAAAGACAGACTTACATGACGGCTAAAGACGGACTTACATGACGGTTAAAGACAGACTTACATGACGGCTAAAGACAGACTTACATGAAGGTTAAAGACAGACTTAAATGACGGTTAAAGACAGACTTACATGACGGTTAAAGACAGACTTACATGACGGTTAAAGACAGACTTACATGACGGTTAAAGACAGACTTACATGACGGTTAAAGACAGACTTACATGACGGTTAAAGACAGACTTACATGACGGTTAAAGACAGACTTACATGACAGTTAAAGACAGACTTACATGACGGCTAAAGACAGACTTACAGGACGGTTAAAGACATAATTACATAACGAGTATACACAGACTTACATGACAGATGTCATAAAGCGGTACAGAGGTCAAAGACAGACTTACATGACGGTTAAAGACAGACTTACATGAAGGTAAATACAGACTTACATGACGGTAAATACAGACTTACATGACGGTTAAAGACATAATTACATAACGAGTATACACAGACTTACATGACAGATGTCATAAAGCGGTACAGAGGTCAAAGACAGACTTACATTACGGCTAAAGACAGACTTACATGACCGTTAAAGACAGACTTACATTACGGCTAAAGACAGACTTACATGACGGCTAAAGACAGACTTACATGACGGTTAAAGACAGACTTACATGACGGCTAAAGACAGACTTACATGAAGGTTAAAGACAGACTTAAATGACGGTTAAAGACAGACTTACGTGACGGTAAATATAGACTTACATGACGGTTAAAGACAGACTTACATGACGAGTATACACAGACTTACATGACGGTTAATTACAGACTTACATGACGGTTAAAGACAGACTTACATGACGGTTAAAGACAGACTTACATGACGGTTAAAGACAGACTTACATGACGGCTAAAGACAGACTTACATGACGGCTAAAGACCAGACTTACATGACGGTTAAAGACAGACTTACATGACCGTGTTGATGCCACAGAACTGCTGGAAGACTTGTAGCATGCAGCCGATAAACAAAGCTTTCCTGACGTGCGGCGTCGTGAAGATCTGTTTCCAGATATGCCAGCCTTAGGAGGGTCAAAGATAGCATCGATATACAGATATAGTAGGTGTGGGGCTCAGTGGCGTAGGCAGGGGGGTTTAGGGGGGGAGGGATCATAACCCCCCCCCATAGACCCTTCGGTATATTAAATAAAAAAGTATGAGGCGGGGTGCAAATCGTAAGTTTGAGAGGGGGGGGGGGGCAAATCGAAAGTTTGAGGGGGGGGGGGGGTGGAAATCGAAAGTTTGAGGGGAGTGCAAATCGAAAGTTTGAGGGGGGGGGGGGGGGTGAAAATCGAAAGTTTGAGGGGGGGGGGAGTGCAAATCGAAAGTTTGAGGGGGGGGTGCAAATCGAAAGTTTTGTCCCCGGGTAAAAATTGGACCCCCCCCCCCCTTGAGATGATCCTGGCTACGCCACTGGTGGGGGCTATACACAGATGTAGTAGGTGTGGGGTTATACAGATACAGTCGGTATTGTGTTATAAAGATATAGTAGGTGGGGTGCAGGCATTACCTCTCCCCCCCCCGTCAATTACCCCACGGACATCCCCCTGACATTACCCCCGGAGTAATTACCCCCCATCAATTACCCCCTGTCGTTTACCCCACCCCCCCCCCCCCCCGCCAGACTAGCTTAAGGTACAGATAGGGTAAGGGTTGGGCTAAGGTTAGGGTTAGATCTATGGCAATGGCTATGGCTAGGGTTAGGGTTAGGGTTAGGGCTAGGGTTAGGGCTAGATTTAGGGGTTAGGATTATGGTTAGTGTTATGGTCAAGGTTAGGGTTAGGGTCAGGGCTAGGATTAGGGTTAGTATTGTGGTCAAGGTTAGGCGTAAACCCATGTCTAGAGTTGATTTTGGTTTTGTGTTAAGTTTTAGGCTGATGGGAATGCTTAGGTTTTGGTCTTTTTCTTAATGTTACGAGTAAGGTAATATATAGGTATAGAATTTGAATTGGAGTTAGGATTCTAACTTGAGGGGATAGGGGGGGGGGGGGGGGGGGGGGTAATTGACAGGGGGTAAAATGCTCCGGGGGATAAATACGGGGGGGGGGGGTGGAAATGTCCAGGAGGTAATTGACCGGCGGGGGGGGGGGTAATGTCATGTAGTCAGTAGGTGTGGGGCTATACACAGATGTAGTAGGTGTGGGGATACAAAAATACCATTTTGTCTTGCACAAATATAGCAAGTTTGGTGCTATACAAATATGCCAGGTTAGTTAGTGATATGTCAAGTAAACCATTTCATTGTATGCTTGTAGAGAAATACAAATCTGTCAGCTGTATATTAATAGACAAATATAAAGCACCCACCTGTATATTAATAGACAAATATAAAGCACCCACCTGTATATTAATAGACAAATATAAAGCACCCACCTGTATATTAATAGAAAAATATAAAGCACCCACCTGTGTATTAATAGACAAATATAAAGCACCCACCTGTTTATTAATAGACAAATATAAAGCACCCACCTGTATATTAATAGAAAAATATAAAGCACCCACCTGTGTATTAATAGACAAATATAAAGCACCCACCTGTATATTAATAGACAAATATAATCCTCTCACCTGCATGTTTATAGAGATATATTAATGCACTTACCTGCATATTAAAAAAATAAATAAATACTTATAAATAAATATAAAGCATT